CCAAATTGCAAGAAATATTTGCGTGTGCTGGGGATCCGCTCACTTCTGTCAAGGTAGGCGCGAGTGGAAAGTTGCGTGCCCTTAGATACCGGTTCCCGAGAATTATGCCCACAAAGCCATACTGATTTCGTCTTTGACATCAAAAGGCATGAAAGATGTTTGAAGGACCTGGGCGCTCTACCCGCCGCCCATTCACTGGAATCGGAGATTTTGCCCTAGATTAAACGACTTCACACAACATCGGATGACGCAAGTTAACGACAACCCAAAATGGGAAAAACACCAAGTGCAGAAATCCAGTCTTGTCGAACCTGCGAGTCAAAGGAATTGGCAGCAGCAAATGGTCAACATCCAAGTCTACAGTCCGTGAGGCAGCTTCGGAAATCTAGAAAAATCACTAGGTGTTGCCACAATTATTGGATCAATAAAGGAATCCTGCAGCCATCTGTCCAGATTGTTGAACTAAGGTTTCCCAACGAAAATTTTCGTCGCAATATTCAGTGAACAATTGAAAAGTCAGCCAGAGGGCACTGTACAAACAACTGGACTTACGCAGCGGTCTCAGGATATTAGGGCTCATACAACAGCAAGACTCATACACCATTAAATTGCGCATCAACACACTTCACACCAACTGAAAAGATCGAAATTTTCCTTATTTTCTATCCTACAAGAATGGCCGAAGAATCAAATCTCCCTTCTAAAACGAAGCCCTCTCCGCCCAACCCTATATCCACTAGTCCGGTCTTCGCGTTATTAATCTTGAGAAGTCAGTAATTAGTTCTGTAGACCTTCGCATAGGCCAACTGCCTCACTCCTAGTCACACAGACCAAGTTCTAGTGCTTTTGATACCTTGTGAAGTCATTGCGACTACATCCGTTGTCTAGGACATTCTTGTAAGTCAACTCTTCATGCCTATGGTCCGTTTTTCTAAATTAAATTGACCAGGTCTGTTTCGGCGTAAGTCCCCCGTGCGTACACCCAAAATACCCAAAAACGTAGGGCAAGAATTTCATGGCTTAAGAGTATAATCCGATCTGGTACTAAGTTAACCGCAAAAAGGTCAACAAACTCTCCATTAGTAAATGGCTAAGCGGTGTATGCATAGGTGTCTGCGAAAGTAAGTTGTTGAGTCTGGCGAATAAGCAATCGCCGGCCAGCAGTGATAGCGTTAACACGACGCGGATGACTGAGGTCTGGAGCGCCGACTGGTTCACAAAATGTCGTGCAGCCGCTAACGGCACTATAATATGGCGACCGTGGACAACAGCCTAATAAGTTTGCTTGCCAATGCTACCTTTTCGTCGGGTTATGCAGTCAAAAAAAACTAGCAGACAACTTTGAATAAACAATAGGAGCGTATGTGGGAGACACGTCCGTCATCACAGTCCTCAAGAAATCTCATGAATATGTTCGATCCACACATACGGCGTCTGCATTAATTGATACGCCGCGTAACCCTGGTCCAGTGGGGCGGGGGCTAGTACGCGAGATGAACTAATCAGTCGAGAACGGACTCCTGGTACTGAACGCTGGAATACGCAAGCGCTCCTGGACCCTGGGCGCCCGTCGCAAACACACGCTCCCAACAGCGTCGCAGGTATCTGCTAACCTGATATACAAACAATGGACGTATGACCAGCCAGACTAACTACGGTGCAGAGCAGCGCATTCTAGCGTTCTGTCAAGGGTGCCAGCAACTGACGGCGGCCTATTCTGTTGACATTGCCACAACGTCCGAGCCTGTCTATCATGGTTTCCTGTGGCAGGTAGTGGAACTAACCGTTATGTAGATAAAGACAATCGTCATGATGAGGGCCTACTACTGTGCGGGTTTTGGTTCACAACAATCTCTGCCAGTCATCCAACAAGTTTGTATCAACTCGTCCACTTTGGTCAAATACGTCATAAACTCGATTCTTTATGAGCCATACACGACCTGGACGGTATTTAGTTTGCACCCGGGCGTTGGACGACTTATCTCCACGACGCTGTTGGTATCGCTCTGACGGCCTCAGACTGTGGTGTTGCAGACGAATGAAGTCGCTGATAAGACCAAAGTGTTCTCGGGATGCATCACTGATTAGAAGCCCCCCCCCCCCCCCTAGGGATTACTGATTGTCAACATGAGGAAATAGAGGTTGTTGCCGGATTGACAGGTGGACGGCCTCCGCTTCCAAATCGATACTACGCACGGGCTGTTCACAGTTCGTAGAATGTATCGATGTTTGACCACCGTTGCCTGGGAAGCACCAATTGGATGAGGTAGACTGACTTAACTTGAAATGAGACAGCATGTACTCGCTGCGAGAACGTCGAGATGATGTCTGCGACTATCCAATAATGACGGCTGAGGTGGTTTGGGCACACTTTTCGTGGCTTAGCTCATGAGTTCGGCGTTTCTGTCGCTGATTTGACGCCGTTGCCCATCTGGAGGCCATGAAGCGGGGATCAACTCAGAGCCTGGCTCGAAATGGTCCTCAAAGTTATGGAATCTATCCTGAGACCCTATGTATTCGACCCCCGTTGCTGGAGAGAATTGGTCGATTGTCGTTGGTCCGCTGTCGCCGGTCATCACCCGCGTAACGGTACAATTCGCGATATTATGGAGGCCGGTTCGGCCGGGCGTGATTACAGACACATGAAGTGTGCGTGCAGGAGGCAAAAAAGTTCACATATTACGCTGTTATTAGTTCTTACGTCAATGTCCCAAAGTCCCTTAACCTCAGTGTTCACCCCAAGTTCTCTCTACGTATTTCTTATAGTAACCTCTCCGACGCAATCACCTCTATCTTCCCTCAAGCCTCCCTACTTTCCGTTTTCACTCCCGGCAATTTTCCAACATAAACTGTCATATTCTTTCAGTATTGGAGATACGTATTCCAAAATTTGCAGACCTGTCTCTCAGCCATTATTAGTAATCATCCATATGTTATCCTCTGAAGCACGCACTTGGCCTGCACTGCGGGTTCCATAGATCCGATGGTCGCCCGTGGTGAGTCATCTTGCGAAGCATCATCAGATCAGCCAGTGTGTTCGCGAATGTAGCAGGCATTGCCACATGGGCGAACATAAAGGGACAAGAATGTACAGCCGGTAGACAATATATAAACAGGACGCAAGAGAATGAAGAATATAAAACGAATAACCAAAACCCGTAAACCTGCAATATGGCCTCTTGTAATTTACCTTTTTAGTGGTTCCGAAATAAAGGTTTGGTCCAAATTTTTCTATATATCAGTCACTTCGGATATCGAAAGCAAACCATATAATCCAGTTGTGTACACAGTCCCTCCATCACCGAATAAAAAGGCTGGGACACAAAAGATCCCCCTTCTGCATTTTCTTTTAATTCGTTCAAGCATTTCTCAAGCTCTAAAAGTGCAAATTAACCGCATGTTAGGAGTTTCGAAAATTGATCACGCTAATGAGGCAGGTGTTGGTAGCTTTGAAGGATGAACCGATTTCCTTCGAGCTTTTATTAAGCCTAAGATTGGTATAATTAATTGGATGCAAAATTTTAAAGATCTATGACTTACACTTCCCTCAAACCATCAGACGTCATCTGCGGTTGGCCGTCGGAAGTTAACTACGCTTACCGCCTCAAATTCACTCCATTAAAATCAGACTGATAGATCTACTTTTTTCTCCAACATTTTGATTGATTTATTAAATTTAACTTCCTCTCTTATAATGCTATTCCATCCTTTACTGCCGGTTTTGGTCGAGTGGTTCGGGGCATTCGAATGTCACTACCTTCTATGCCGGGAAGCAAGGTGCATAGTTAACTTGAACTGTTGTAACGCCCGTTGGCACGAACAGGATTGTTTGAATGTTATAACACTTTTGGCGCAGACCTGGGATGGCCATGGAGTAGCTGCGTGCTGGTGAGGGCTGACAGTGTCCCTTTCTGTCACTACCGCCGACAACCCCCTCCCGCAACGCATTCTCGCTCTCGTCTTGCTCCCACTCAAAGTCGTCCCCCCTCGGTCCTTCCCTACAGTTGCCCACAGCGCTGCATCCCCATCGGCTGTTTAGCTAGTATGTCAGGGTCACCTATTTATCTAGACAGGTCATCTTATTCCACAGGTTCCTCATTCCACGTGTACATTAACAATTGTTATACACATTCTCCATATCCATGTCGTTCTATTACACTATATCTCATACTTGACGTACTTTCTTCTTCTGTGTGTGAATGAGTTTCGAGAGATGTTAACAGTTCTGTTAACGTCTACCTCCGTCAGAACCTCTTCTCAGCGTTTCTTTACTTTGGTGTGTGCTACCCTTGACGTCCTCGGTCGCTACACTGTAACCTAAACAACCGGCCCTGCAGGGGCGCGTGCAATCGCTACTACTACTTATAGGATTGGTTTTTGCAGGACCAACTTCGACTATGCATATGTGTCTTGTTTGTTATAATTTCGGTTTCTTATAAAATCACCTAACAAAAGAAATTTGCAATAAATACAAATTAAGTAGATTAATAATGTCTCAAGTGTGCTCTGTTTTCTTTTCACAATGCCACTCGACCAATCACAACGCCAGATTCGAATATTTGGACTACTTTAACGCCCGAGGTCGTATAAATACGCCGTAAAGCTAACTAAGGAAGAAAATTGGACGCTGAGCTCCGGCCTTCTGTTGTCTGCCGACTTTGCTGTGAAGTAAGAACTCCTGCGGCCCTACCTGTGTACATTAGGCTACTAGCGAGGCCTGTAGTAGGTTCATTTTGATACAGTCTCATTATTTCTTTATGAATTGCCTTAGTTCCCCTTGGGGTTTGTCCTCAATCGGATCAGAGACGTTGCAATTTGGTGCTTGTGGTGTCACACGCAAAATGGCAGCCAATCTCTTAAGTAAACTTGTTAAAGGGCTGAAGAAACTGACAATGACTTCGTCGTCGTGTTCCCCTCCTGCCAAACTTTCTCGGTCAGGCGATTTTGACCTTTGAGAAGCCCCACTGACAGATTACCTAGGCGGCGTGGATGGCAAATCTATGGCAATCCTTTCACAACTGGACGACGATGTCTATGCCCTGACGCGGACTTCAGGCATCAATTCTAAGACGCCTGTCGCAGACATTTTTCAGGACCATCGTCGGATTCTATTCGGTTCAACGCCCACTTGGCTGATGTGGTCTGAGTTACGACGGCGGTTTCAGGGGCCTTTAGAGGGCGTCGTGGAACTTCAGCAGGCGCTTCGTCTTCTAGGACGGCAGGCCTACTCTCTTCGGCAGCCGCCGATCCCGAAAAAAACACTCCTCGAGCACTTCATGGATGGTGTTTCGGGCACGGAGGTTCCCAAATCATTCCTCCGTCAACAGCCGTCCAAGTTTGACGACGCTCCTCGCCTTGCCCAGCAAGAAGAGGCGCTCCAGGCCGCTTGTGCCACCACGTTGGAGTAGCCTCTATGCGGTCTCAGTTGAGTGTGGACGTCAGCACTCAGACGCCCTGGCGTCACTGCATGTTTGGGTCTTACTCCCCTCGGCAAACTAATTGGCGCCGACCTCCGATTTGCCGCCCTACCGGTCATCAAGGCCGCCGGCCCATTCAAGTGGTTGATGTTGAGCAGGAATACAACAGTCAGTGTTTTATTTTTTTCGGATGCAGTTGTACCATGTGTAAGCCAGTCATTTTATCCCTTGGTTAAGGTGACAGTCGGAAACCTTTCCTTTTCTTGTCTAGTTGATTCCGGAGCATGCTGCTCGCTAGTTAAGCAACGGCTCTTTAATGCTTTTTAGATTAAAGTTAAGTATCGAGGGAAACCCAAATGGCACCTCCGTACGGCCACTGGCGCCGGGCTCGAGCACGACGGGTTGGTTGAATTTTCATGGCAACTTAGTGGTCACATGTTTTCGCTTTGATGGGACCCCGACGGGTCTTTAATAAAAAATTACCTATTTAAAATTATCTATTCTTTCCTGATGTCTCCGGACATCACCTGCGACTGGGTCTTGGGTGTGAGTTCCTGAACAGGTTCCGGTGCCCACTTGATTTTAACAAACATCTATTCAGTACCACCCTCGTAAATTTACCCTTTCTCACTCACGTTCCGGCCGGCAACTGATTTTTCCTCTGCGTCTGTTGTGCCCGCAAACATTAGAGACCTTGTACCTACCAGTTTAGACGCTAACAGTCTTACTCAACTACAACATTTGCTTATCCAATTAAAGGACATTTTTAATTGGGACGGCAAATCAACTGGCTGGACCAATGTTACTCAACACTGCATTGACAGTGGGGACGCCAAACCAATTAGGGTCCCTCCTAGACGTCTTCCCATTTTCTTTCAGAAGGAATTGGATGCCCTCATAAGCGACATGCTCAGTCGAAAAATTATTCGACCCTCTCATTCGTCGTTGTCTTCAGCGATGGTGCTCGTGCGGAAGAAAGATGGCACGATGCGTCTACGTGTTGATTACAAAAAACTGAATGTTGTGGCGAAAAAGGCCTCGTTTCTCTTGTCCCATATCGATGCTGCCTTGGACACACTTGCCGGTAATATCGTCTTTTCAACCCTAGACCTAGTTTCGGGCTGCAGGCAGGTGAAAGTTCGATCCACTGTTAGGGAGAAGACTGCGTTTTCTGTGCCATCGGGTCTCTACGAGTTTGAGACAATACCGTTTGGACTAGCCAACGTCCCTAGTACCTTTCAGAGGCCTATGAATCAGGTACTCTTTCAGCTGATTCCGAACTCGTGTCTGGTTTACATGGACAATATCATTTTACTTGGGACGGACTTCGAGGACCATTTGGTGAACCTTTGATCCGTATTCTTCAGTCTCAAGCAGGTCGGCCCAACTCTAAAACTTTCAAAGTGCGTCTTCACTAGACCGCGCGTTAAATTCTTAAGACATGTATTTTCAGCCATGGAGTAAAAACCGATGTCAACATAGTCAGACAGATCCGTGAATGGTCGACCCCTTCGAGGTTCGCAGTTTCTTAGGCCTGGCGTCGTACTATCGACGCTTCATAAAAGATTATGCCAACTTTGCCGACCCTTTTCGACCGCTTCACCCAGAAGGAGGAAAAATTCAAGTGCACGACCGAATGTGATGGTAGCTTTCGGTGGCTAAAGGATATTTTGTGCACAAGTCCTGTCCTGCTTTTCCACAAAATCAGCGAAGGTGCAGAAAAATTTATCTTAGATACTGACGCCAGCAACACGGCTATAGGTGCCGTCCTGTCTCAGCAGCGACCTGACGGCAAGTTCAATTCAGTTCAGTTTATCTAGAGAAAATTCAGGATTGCACTTTTTCGCCATTGTGCGATTTAAAAAGTATTCATATGAAGTTCATGAAAATTGCAAAATTTCAGGCGAACATTTGCGTTCTGGAAAGTATTGAGAAGGTTGACTTTCCAAGGGATTTTGTTGTGACCACGCCCCGGATAATAGCATATAAAGGAAATGTGGAACGGATAAGGGATTACTTATTGAAGTTGAAGGAATTTTAGGTATTTGATTTTGTGCGTGTCTTTCTGGTCGATCGTGTTCTTACACGACAGACACCATTACCATGTCCGACCAAGTACAACGACCTTATTCTGCACTCCAGCTGGGATTATTTCGTCTTGGCTACCACTCCGCAGTTACCGTCTGTGATATTAGTAGTAGAGCCCTACGTACGGCATTACTTTCCGCGTCTCTGGAATATCTTTTTATGTGTCCAAACTCGTCAGGAAGCTGAGTCAAACTCATTTTCTTTATTGGCACAGTTAAATTGACTACGCGGTTAACTCGCAGATATAGTCTAGAAAAACAGGCTTTCAAAGAGCCTTAGCATCCACAGCCATCCCACGTCTTCGAGACCTGCAAACGTCCGAGCCACATCTGAATCAAATTCATATGATTTGACTGTCTTAAGCACTTTTGAATAATTAGCATCCCTGTTCATTGTAACGTGCATTTAAGTTCAAAAACTTAGTTGAGGCTGCGGATGTTAGGATGTGGTGTCAGGTTATTGATTTTCCCGCCCGAGGATCAAGCATGCTTGGCCTAATTTTATGTAGAGGCTGCATGTCTTTGTCGGTGGCATCCCTAGGCCCACTTGGGGCTCAGGATGGGACATAGTTGTTTCAACGTAAGAACTCAAGGTTGACAAAGTTTCGTCCCCAAAGTATAGCTTTTTCCGCGAATTCCGATCAACCGAATTATTAACATGCCTTAATTCCTACGCTTGGACTGATCTCTTCCTTAGTTCGGATGTAAATGTTTTCACTGCAAAAATGTACGAAATGTTCGATCTACTTATTTCTGGTTTCGTCTCCCGTATGAAAATAATTAATGTTGGGGATGAGGTTTTCCTACCCTTGCCATTTAGTCGCAGGTCGTGCAGACTTTCTCGTCGATTTTATCTTCAGAACGAATTTTCTGTTCTGCCCTTGATCTGTATATTTTTGAGCGGGCTAAGAGATTGTCTGAAGAAAAACAGGTAGCCAAAGAGGTCCAATTCACTGAAAACCGTTCATCAAACACATAATGCTACTTGGTGACTTCAACTGTCCGGACATAGAGTGGGATTTGATGTATTGCACGCGATCAGAAAACTCCTTCGAACAGAATCTTGTGCAACTGATCACAAATGATTTCCTTACCCAACATGTTAAAGTGAACACTCGATTCAGAGATGTACAGCAGTTCAGTTGTTTGGACCTCATCATCACCAGGGACGATAGTTACATTCTCGGATTGGAATCGCACCCGCCCCTTGGCCGAAGTGACCACTGCGTTCTTGTTTGGGAGTATAGTCATTTTTCCGTACCCTAAATTCGAGCTGCTGAGGAAAGAAACGTATGGAAAGGGGATTATACCCGAATGAAAAATCTACTACAGAAGGTGAACTGGAATGCAGCACAAGGACCTGACCCAGAAAGCGATTGGCTCTTCTTCAAGAACATAATGCAGCACTTGGTAGAGAGCTGTTGCCCACTGAAGAGGAAGCTGCGCACATCCCGACCAGAGTGGGTGACGTCAGAAATAAAGAAGAATCTTAAATTGAAAAGGAGACTTTGGAGAACGTACGCCAATTGTCAGCAACCAGAGCATTTCGCTGACTTCAAAAAACAAAGGAATGTATGTCGGAATCTGTTGAGGAGGCAACGGGCACAATTTGAGTCAAAACTATTAAAAAATATCCCGCAAAATTCAAAAAAATTTTTGGATACGTGAATAGAGCCAAACGCAACCGCGACTGCATTCCCTGCCTAAAAGATAGCCAGGGAAATACGTTGTCGGACAACTCAGATAAGGCGAATCTGTTATCCGACTTCTTCACGTCTGTGTATACTGAGGAGCCGGCTTTTGATGAAGGAGTCTACCCCCCAATTGTCAAATCAAACAGTACACTTAGCACGGTGGACTTCACAACAGACACGGTAAGAAAAACTTTGAGGCAACTACAGCCCACTAAATCCCCTGGTCCGGACGGCGTGTTCGCGAAAGTTCTGAATG